CCCTCCCCTCCCCTCCCCTCCCCTCGGCTGCATACCCACGCGTATACCTGCCAGCCGTGACATGTGAGGAATTCATGGCATCGACTTGAACTTCGGCTGCCCATCACCCCATATCATCAATGATGGCTGCTGGGACTACAACATCTCAGGGTTTTTGGGCTTCTTGGGGTTGGGCTGGCGACAGAGACCTGCATGTCAAAGAAAGTGGTAAAATATAGGCGTGCCCCTGCATCGAGGTGCATGATGTACTGGGCGTACTGGGCGAATCCGTGCAGCTGCCCCTCCAAGACGCTAGAAGACACTATGCCCCCAAACTGGACCTCAAGAACCCTAACCTAAGCTTTAAATCCACAGCTCCGAACCCGAAACCCCTAAACCCAAAAGCCTAAACTGAACCCATAAACCCCAAACCCGAAAACCTCTAGCCCAAAAGCTCCACACTCTGAGGACTCGGCCCGGCGATGCTGAATCGGCCCTTTGTGCTTCGAGAGATGTTCGAGCGCCTTGCAGAGTCCCTTGAAAAGGAAGCTGGGGTTTGGGATTTGGGGTTTAAGGTTTTTCCTACTAGGGTTTAGTTTTATTTAGGGTTTAGGATTACATTGGGGTGTAGTTGTGACCTTCGCTGTGTTTCTTGAGTCGTGGCGCAGTCACTTACTCGGGTTTGCTGGGCTCTAGTAAGCTGCACGTGGATGCTCCAGTCATCCATGTGGCGGGCAGCTTGCGTCCGTATGAGCACATCATGCGGAATCATGCATTTTGATACCATCATTGATACAGGTTCGAGGGCTCCCCAAGAGACAAGAAAGATTGTGCCTTTTGAGGTGGCGGTCGCAGACTTCCCTGCCCATCGGCGCAATCGGCGCCAAGCACTCTGCCTGAGTATAAATCTCCGGTGGTTCTTCCTGGCACTTTAGTATCCTGAATCAGAGCCTCTCTAGATTTTGTTGGGGCTTCTCATCACGGATGGTCAGATGGTCTATATATCGAGGTCTTCTGATTGAAAGGCGAACCTGACACCAGCCTGATGCGTCGTTGCATAAGTTGAGGCGCACATGCAAAACTTCTTGCTCAAGCTCCATAAAGTATACGATTACTATGATGATACACTATAATTGTATAATATACTATGTTTTTCGACAACATACTATGATATACTAAGACTTATCATAATATATCTATAACTTTCTATGATATACTAATTAAGACTTACTCTATACTATACTATGGTCCGTCTCTTCTCTGAGGATGCGGCTGGGCCTCAATGAAGACGAGGAGCGGCGCGAGGCGGGGAACGGGATGTTGCAGTGCGACCTGGGAGTAATATAGGGGCCTTAACGATTACCCATACTATTTTGGGGCTCCTTATTAGAATTATAGTATAACATGCTCCAAAACCCTACAGAAAAGGCTACTGATTATTAAGGCCCCTACATTAGGGTTAGGGTTTGGGATTGAAGCTTTGGCTTTTCACGGCTCTGGTTTCCGAGCAGGAGAGATTTAAGGGAAGCTTTCGATTCATGACCTCGGACCTTGGGGTTCAACACGAACTTGCAAAAGATGTCAATGCAGAGTGCCTTAGGAGCAAGTTGGTCAGATGTACCGACTGTGGACCTTTTTCTCCTTGCAGGTGTACCTGCGTGCCATCCGTCACTGGGCTCTTCCCATATAGGCTCATGTCAAGGGCTTGCCCCCGATCTAGTGAAGGTGCCAGGGGACTCAGTCAGGGATGCCTTTTCCGAGTGTTGCTGGCAGCAACTGCTCACCAAGTCAAAGCATCCTGAAGTGAAGTGGAGCTTCGAAAATCGATTTCCATTCAGCCTATCAGCTGTCGATGTTGGCTTTGCGTGTTTTCGACATGGCAGCTTGCATGGCATGTGTTGGGTTTGCTTGGTTGGAGATGTTGCTGGGCGAAGTTGTGTGCTCGCTCTCTCGGCAAGCCAGCTGACTTTCAAAACGGTTTCTAGATCTTTTAGAAAATGTTATATACATAATATACATGCATAACTTTAAAAATACATACATAAAATAACTGAAATATATTAATACATGGATATCTGAAGAAATAAATGCATACGTAAGTATATACACACATGACCCAGTGCTGGCAAGTTTTGAGGAGAGACAACTCGAACAGTCCAACAAGTCGAGTCATGACCGTTGCAAGCATTCAGCGGGAAACGGGGCATGAGTACTGTAGGTACCACGTGTAGTAGTAGTCGTCGTCGTCGTCTTCATAATCGTAGTTGTACAGTCATAGTAGTCGTCGTCGCAGAAGTAGACCAGTAGATAGTATTTGTGTCGTTTTCGGGCCTCGTGTTGTTTCGGTGGTCCTGCCGATGAACACTGGACATAGCCAAGGATATGCGAAAGGCCGCTTGGACTATGTGGTCCTGCATCCTCGCAATGCTCGCGAGGACAGAAAAGTGCTCGGTTCTTCCGACGGAAGCAGTTGCCCACCTTCACGTCCAAGAGTACCCTTGAGTGCGACTCCGTTCTTTCA